AGGAGCAGGAGAACGACGGCAAAGGGAACCGAGAGAGCAGCTTGAGAGAGCTCGCGCGCATGGAGAGCAGTTGGAACACAAGAAAATGGGCTTTGTGCTCTTCCCGATGTTCCGGATAATTCAAATCGATGTCTCCGTTTATGCGACGCCGTTACGAACGCCGGTGTGGTGTTAATCAAAGAGATACGCGCGGCGGTCGCGCGCTTTCACGTCTTGCGACGACGCGAATAACTCTCCCGAGCGCGGCGAGAGAGAGAGAGAGAGAGAGAGAGAGAGAGAGAGAGAGAGAGAGAGAAGGGGGAGAGGGGGAGACGGCGGGTTTCTTTCGCGATTTCCTTCTTTTTGACGATTTTCCGCACGTGTGCACGTCGGGTGAACAGTATCCGGCATTTGCGGCTATAATTGAACGGTGTAAGAAATAATTACAGTCGCGACAATGATTTTTACGGTAAATCTAGCTAATATGAAGGATAATACTAATATTTTTTCGTTAGGACGACTGAAAAATGTGGCGTCGCCGAAAATGACTGTAACTCCAGCGACCGGCTTAGGGATGAGGGGAGTTGGGAGTCGAGCGTTTTCTCTCACAGCGGGAGGAAAGTGTCTGATGTTTACGGCTCTGTAATTGCATGATGAAGTAATTACAATGACGAAAACTATTTTTCCCCGGGAAAAGCGCCTCTGTGTGGTTGTTGAGGTAATAATGATCCTATAAGTGGATCTCGCACTACAGATTGTTTTTTTTTCTTTTTTGGAACAAAAGGAATTGCTTCGGCATCGAAAATGACTATCAGTTCAGCGACAGACTGATTCAATTTCTTTTTCTCTCGGCGTACGCAACGAGACAGTTTGAGAAATACGCTATACATACGCTATACATTGTATTCAAAATATGCAACGTCGCGACATTATCTAATCGTTAGAATTAGCAGGCATACCGCGCTGTCGTTAGGAAGAGAGTAGACGACGACGACGACGACGACGACGACGGAGTCTTCCCTCGCGCGCGATACTCATTACCGCGTAATGCAGCGAGCGTGCAACTCGCTTCGCTGCACTTTACAGAGCGCGTTACCGGGACGCTCACACGCTCGCTGCGCGCCTCGTATTACGTCTACTTAAAAAAAAAAAAAAGAACAAAAGATGGGAGGAAAGAAAAAGAGAATAAGAGAGGGGAGGGGACGGGAAGAGAGAGAAGAAAAGAAACGAGCCGCGCTGCGCTTCCGCGAGCTGCGCGCGAGCGCACTTTCTCACCGCCGTGGAAAACACGAAGCGCACACGCTTCGCGTATGAAAAGTTGCGTTTCCTTTTTTGTTTTCTTTTTCTTTCTTTCTTTGGGATGCACTCCAACCCCAACGCGAAGAAAACGTCACGCCGATCTCACGACGTTCTGGCGATCGCAGTGTGTCGTCGCGACGACGCGACGCGATGACATATAAGAAGCGACGACACGATGAAGGGTCGTCGTACACTTGCTTTCAATAAGACTCTCGTTTTGCTCGGACACTTTGTTTTTGATCATTGTTTTGATCATGGGCAAAATAATCAATTGAATCAACGCGGCAGTAAATGAATCTGAATCGTGTTTTGTGGTCGAGGGAAACAGAAGTTTTGGTCGTCCGAGCCGAATTTGCTTCGCCCATTAAAAAATAAAACGCACCGTTGTGCAGAGATTTGAGGTAACTTTTATAAGAAATTACAGACCGGTTATTTTTGACCGCTCGGTAGCTCTAGCATTGATTCAACCGATCTTTCTCCTCCGTGATGCAGTTTAGAATGGCAGCCGAGATGGTCTAATGAGAGAAAGAGAAAGAGAGAGAGAGAACTTGATTCTGGTTAATTGCCAGAAGTTAAGGTCTCTCTCATTGGACCATCGGCTACGTTCCAAGCTCGTGTCGGAAGAAAAGAAAGCGTTCAGGCCGTTTTGACACGTACACACCTGATACCTGAAGAGCGCAACGATGATCGCAAATTATCTGCGTCGCATCGACAGAATCGAGAGAGACTCGTGACAAAAAAACTGTGACGTGTTTGCCGATAAGAGCGGAAATAGAACATATGACAGTCGAGAGAGAGAGAGAGAGAGAGGGAGAGAGCGAGGGAAGGAGAGAAGGAGGGAGGGAGGGAGAGAGAGAGGGAGGGGGAGAGAGAGAATTACGTGTGTGTGTGTATGTGTAGTGCGTGTCGACGCGATGGCGGAATAAATAATTAATCGTCGGACTCGATCGGCCGAGCGCGACAAGCCGCGGCCGCTTCCTCTCCTTCGCCTTTTCCTTCCTCCCTTCCCTCTTCCTCCCTCCTCTTTTTGTATATAACTCGCAGTATCGGGCGTGAGCGCGACGGCATCGGGGGAGGGTGCTTTCAAATTGCGAGCAAATTCGCGGTGCGGACGAGGGATCCGCGGTGGCGTAACAAACAACAATCGCGGTTGAATTCCAAGCGAGAGAGAAGAGAACACAACTTTGCACCCGCCAATCGAATCGTCCGGGGACTTCGGTTTCGATTTTACTCGCGGTTCTGCGTATACTGGAAAGCAAAACGGTTTCGACAGTTTTTTTCTTCTAGTGACATTGGTAAACCGCGTAGTTGTGAATTTGAGAATCACTGCTTAATCAAACCGCGCAAACCAAAAGATCGCTCTCTCTCTCTCTCTCTCTTTCTCTTTCTCTCTCTTGCGCAAGTGATTCTCAAATTTTACAACTAGACTAGTTACTAACGTTTGTAAAAAAAAAAAAAAAAACCGTCGAAACCGTTTTGCTTTCCAATGTACACGTGAAAGCGCGAACGAGTGAGACACGTTCATCGGAACGCGCGTATCGGCCGGTGAATTTATATACTTCACGTAATGTAAATGTAACGCTTCTTTTCCGCCGTACGAATTGAAGAAACCGCAATTGTCGTCGGCGACAAACGACGGAGAGGTCGTCGGTGTCGAGCTGCGGGATAGATCATTATCCTGAAGCTCTATCCGTCTCCATTTTCCTCCCTTCTGGTCCGATTTTCGGGAGAAAAACACGTTCGCATTCTCACGAACGTGTTAGAGCGCGTTCCTCGAAAATAAATCGGCCGCGAAAGAACGGCTTCTCCTTCAGAGTTTCAGCGGCAGGTAGAAGCAGCGGGGCGAATTTGCGCGCACAGTCGGCGAGTCGGAGCAGTGGCTGCAGGTAGAATTTTTCGAACGAGCAGGTCGGACTCCCGCAGGGAGCTCTTTCTTCGCGGACGGTTCGGCGGCAGATAAAAAGACGACGGAGACGGAGGTAGAGAGAGAGAGAGAGAGACGCGTGAACACAGTAGAACGACGTCGAAAGAGACGTCGAGAGAGAATCCGGGAAATCGGCCCGTTGCGACAAAGGCACGAGAGATGAGATCAGATGATATGAGGCGCGCATGGCGGCCAAAAATTCGTGGAAAGCGAAAAATAAATGGACGGCGCGGCGAACGCGCGTCCCCCCGCAAATCTCCTTCGCCTCGTCGGATTTTCTTACCCTCGCTGGCTCGGAAACGCGAGCGATGGTTCTCAAAACCAAGCGAATTCGGACACGCGAGACTCGAGAGAATTTACGAAGATGACACACGAATTGCGCCTCGCTGTGACGAGAAGAAGTGGAAGGATCAAGAGGATGCTCGAAGATTCAAGAAAGCCCGATAGGGAGGGAGGGAAGGAAGAGAGATTCGAAGAGAGCGCGTCGATACCGAGTGTAGAGCCTGTGAAATCAGCTACGAGGGAGCAGAGGAGGACGATGAGGGCAGAGAGAAAGAAGGACGAAGGGGACGACAGAGCGAGCGATACAACAGCAGAGTTTCCCACGACAGGTGACATGTGAGAATCCCCCGGCAGTCACGGCGGCGCAGGTGGATCAGGTTGGGAAGCTGAGACGCGTGGTGGGAGGCCCAAGAGGCATACCTGCGGAGGCATCGGAGGGCCGAGTGCGAGCGAGCGAGCGAACGAGCGAGCGAGAGAGAGAAAGAGAGAGAGAGCAAAGTCCAGGAGCGTACTACGCAGACTTTGGCAAACGGCCAAAGTCGACCCAAAGTCGATTGTTCCTTTTTCATTTTGTTAGACCCATCTGTAATCTTTGACGATACTGTATTATCATTACGTTACTTCTCCATAAAGCATATCTACGCAGCGGTGATACAACGAGATAACAATATCTCCGTTAAAAGTCACCGAACAGGTATACAGGTAAAAATCAGATTCTC